CCCAAACCCCTAAACCCTTAAACCTCTAAACCCCTAAACCCCCTAACCCCTAAACCCTAAGCCCAAAACCCTAAACCCCTAAACCCCTAAACCTATAGCAGGCTCGGCGGACTTGCACCGGGAAGGATGTACAGAGCCGTGGCTGACGTTGGATGGTTCGGTATAGGTGGGGAGTGAAATCGCAGTGTAGGGGGTTAGGGGGTTAGGGTTTAGGAGTTTAGGCTTTAGGGGTTTGGGCGTTTAGGTTTTTTTTGGGGTTTAGGGGTTTAAGGTTTAGGGTTTTAGTTAATTTAGGGTTTTAGAGAGAGTATGTGAATCATGTTCCATCATGGAGAAACACATGGAAACGAGCGTGGAGAATGAAATGGAAGCTGGGCTTACAGTTAGAGGTTTATAAGGATTCAGGTTTCCAAAAATTAGAGTCCTTGTACTAGTATCCTGTAAGAAGGGTTGTAGTTTTTGGCATTCATAGCTGCGTCTTATGTATGGAATCTGCCACTTCCGTAGGTGCTTCAGTAAAGGTTCTGACCCAGTGGCAAACCATAGAATCATGATTCTCCCGGCATAGTTGCACGGGTTGATTTTATTCGCAGGATTCAAAGGATTTGTTTGGTGTAGATATTGGTGAGGAGCATATACCAGCTTGTCTAGGAATACTCGTGACTGTATCTGCCCGCTATGCCTATGGGTAGATCATGATATCATCTCGTGCAATGTGCAGCTTTACTTTGTTGATTTCAGCTGATGCTGCCCCATTGTTATGAGAGCTTTTGTCGATTTTATCGTTGGCATGTGCTACTTCGGCAAGCTATAGTAGCTTGCACTGGATACATTCAGAAAATTACAATCCCCATGAAGAGGAGTTTCAAGAGGGACACATAATTTGGCAAACTCCCCATTTTTCTGGGAAGTTAGAACTAAGTGAGACCCGCATGAAGCCCTCAACCAGAGACCTGACTTGGAAGTCCACCTACTGATGACTGTGCTGATGGCCCAACAAGAATCCTGCGAGGGTACTTAGGAGCTCATAATTGCGCCATATGTTGAAAAGTTCATCACAAATACCTCCAAGTGTTTTCGTCTCTGTCGTCAGGATCCTCTATCGCGCCTGGAAGGGCTCTTCAGAGCCGTCAGATTCAGTTTTCTGCCGTGGATGCTGAGCTTGCAAGAAGACGCTTTATGTAGGGTTTAGGGTTACAGTTTACAACAGCATTGCTATCATCACAATTGGTACGAGGACTAGTGCTATTACCGTTGCTGTTCAGTTGTTGTTTTGTCAAGTTGATGCTGGATTGCCTGGGCTTGCAGGCTCTTCCCAGAACTGTGGAAGAAGTGTCCTGGGACATTCCACCTTCCTACATTAGGGGCCAGGTCTGGCTTCATAGATACACACTCACTTTGCTTCTGCAGCGCTCTTGGCAAGCAATCTGAGCTCGTGATTCTGTGACTGAGGCAACAAGACCACGGCTGTTGCAGTCTGGCGCCAGCCCATGACGCGCCTTGCCCGTGCTAAGTTTGAAACAGGGCATAGAGAAGGCTATTGTATCCTTCAGGTTTTCCACATGTCTGGGTGTAGGAGTCTAGGACTTAAGGTGTAAGGCTGGGAAAGGAACGGATCCCTGTACGAAATCCAGAGTCATTCTCAGCAATCTAAGTATTTTTTCTCTCAACCTATTCCTTAGTCGGGGTTAGTAGGGACTAAGGGAATAAATTATGTGGGGATTGCATACGGATGATGATATTCGCTGATTCCTGAGCAACCCTCAGTAAGAGTCCTTCATTTTCAACTAAGCTTGATCAAGCCTTAAACCCCCTCTAAACCCTAAACCTTAACCCCTAAACCCTTAAACCCTAAATCCTAAACCCTTAAACCCTAAACCCTTAACCCTAAACCCTAAACCAAGCTTGAGTGCTCGACGCTCGGCCTTACGGCTGAAATGATAGAGCAGGCCCCTGTTTCCTTCCAGCTAAGCTTTTTGATATGAAAACGTCCTGCATGAGCGTAGTCTTCCAGAATGCGATAATTCCGTAGGACCCTTCTTTTTAGGGTCATGCAGGATTAGGGCCTAAACCCCAAACTTAACAGCCTGAACCCCCAAACCCTCAAACCCCCAAACCCTAAACCCTTAACCCTGAAACCCGAAATAGTAGTTTCCGTTTTCTGTTCCATTCTCCCTATTTAATCCTTATAATATCCCTGTATAACCCCCCTAACCCCTAAACCCCGACACCCAAACCCTAAACTCCAAACCCTAAATCAAGGTGCACCACTACACGTTCACCCAGCCAGTTGGCTGGCATTACAGCGTCAAACCGGTTTCTCGTCTCATTAGGGTAGTATTTTATTTGGGAATATTATGGTGCCCAATATGGAGTAAGATTGTATCCTCCTTTTGGGTATAGTATGTTATATAAGTGGAATATAATCTTACTAGGTTCAACCACCAAAAATTAGAGTTGACGGCAGTTTCAATGTTTTCGGTTTTGAAGACTGGGAGGATTCAAACGTGGTTACATATATGTACATGCGATATAGGTGTATATATATATATGTATATCCTGTTTTTTAAAACGTTTTATATAGGTAGGAATGTGGGGGCCTTAAGGCTAAGGGCGCATTCTAGGGGCCTACGGTTTGTTGGAACCTTAGATTTTTAGTGTATAGCCTGCACTTACAGCGGATACTAAAAATGCTACATGACCCCGAGTACCTTATACCTTGGGAACTGTAGTACTGTAGTATAGTAAGGTCATGCAGGATTGTCATTATCAGCAATATCTGAACTCTTCCCCTAACCTTACACCCTAAACCGGGATCCCATGATGAAAGCCTGCAATCCTTTTGTCAAAGGGCTTTTTTGGGGGGCTCGTGTTTGCTCTCGTGTTTGCTTGGCGAGTGTTTATGGTGTGTTGCGCAAGTAACCCCTACACAGCTCTCAAGCGGGGACCACTTCGTAATGCTAAAACATATCTCTACGGGCCATGAAGACCCACTTCCCACCCCAAGGGACCATACTTCGGACCCTAAACGCCAAACCTGAAAGTAGTCGCGCTATATTGGGATATTAGAAAATACAATTGAGACTAGTATAATCATTGGGGTGACATCTAGGAGTTACATAGGGATTATAGCCGCCCGAAACTCTACACATTCCATCAGCTGAGGGATCGCGACTGCCCACCATGTCAGCCGTTTCAATGGCGGCCTACTGGTGGAAGCTGTGTGGCTCGGCTATGGAGGGATGACAGTGATAACCTGAGGATGATATGAGGGTTTAGGGCCCTATAATGGAGAATCAAATGGACAAGAAAATGGAAAATGAAATGGAAACTGGGGTTTAGGGTTTAGGGTTTAGGGATTTGAGTAGTATTTTATTTGGGGGTATTCTGGTACCCATTATAAGGTAAGATTATATCCGTATTTTATATGAGGGATATCGTGCATTTCCGAAAATTAGGTGCTCCTTTTGGCGGGGCCAGTGCTAAATTGCAAATGTGTGCCCTCTTTTCCTGCAAAGCCTCACATGTGCATGTATATATGCATATATAGCAGACATTTGCTAACACATGCGTCAGGGATTAGGGAGTAAAGCCTGTGAACTCAGGAGTGGTGTTCTGAGTTGTGGTGATCCGGATTCACATTGGTTCATGGTCTTCACGTGGACAAGTACTTAGATCACCCACCCTCAAGATATGGATATCTGATGATGACCAGTTCTTCTGGGCACTTTTCTTCGTTCTTGCGTTCCTTCTTGTGTTCTCATTGCCATGCTTTGTCCATTATTGCATAGCTGCAATCTAAGTAGCAGACAACTGGTCGCGGTGGCGGCGTGCATGTGTGCGAAGTCTACGGAGTTTTGGAAAACCTCGCTGCTAGCTTCAATCAACTGCTTGCAAACACATCCGTCTTGGGGGCCAAGGGATTTCGATTACTTGGGTTTATTAACCCTAAGCCCTATAGAGAAGTTTCCATTCTCTTTTCCATTATCCCTACCCCTACATAGCCCCTATATAACTTTGTTCTCCAATTGCAAACTTGTAAAAAAATATTGCATGTGTGGTGTTTAGGCTCTCAGGATAACCCCATATTATCCCTATATAACCAATAGGGTTACGGGTTTAGGTGAATCGCCCTGCTCGAGCGTGTCCAGCGCCAAAGTTTGCGCTGCCTATTCTGTGCCTTGGCCAGACAGGAAGCCTAGGGTTTAGGGTTCAGGGTTCAGGGCTTAGGGTTCAGGGTTTAGGGTTCAGGGTTTAGGGTTCAGGGTTTAGGGTTTACGGTTTAGGGTTCAGTGTTCAGGGTTTAGGGTTCAGGGTTTAGAGTTGAGGGTTTAGGGCCACAGTGGTCACGGAAGTCGGTTGGGTAAATCCTACATTGCCTCAAAGTAAGTATATTACAGTAGTACAGCTTACGTATGACGCAGTATCATAACTTAAGCATTGTCGAGTACCAGCATCATAGAGGTTTTAGGTGAACAGGGTCAGGTAGGATTTTCTTCCACAACTGTAATTTAACCGCTAACGCGGGACAGCCTCAGCAAGGGTAGAGGAGACTGCAGACCCGCGAACCCTCTTCCAAACCCATCTCCCCGAAGAAGTTTCGCTTGCTTGTCGCATCTTCTGCATTTCGTTCTGCAGGTCCCCAGAGGATGTGAACGACGCTGCCAGTCATGTTCCCCTCCAAGACCCTCAACCCCTCCACCCCGTCCCCCCCGACACAAAACCCGGGTTTTCTGTCTTGGACCTGGTTGACCAGCCAACCCTGCCACCCCCCCGGAAAACAATTAAAAAAACCCGATCAAAGACCCAACACGGCTGGGAGGGGCAGAGTGAACTTAGTCTCCTAGTCATAGTCTCTGAACCTGGATCTACACGCCCCAGGCTCCGGCCTCCGCGGATTAGGGTTGTGCTGCTTCTAAAATCCTGCATGACATCACTATACCATACTACAATATTCCCGCGATGCAAGGTACCTAGTGTCATGCAAGGATTTGAAGTATCCTGTAGCAGTGGCAAAACAGAAACCCTAAACCCGAAACTCTTCACCCTAAACCCTAACAGGGTCCTGATGGCAAGCCAAGGATTGTGAACAGATGGGAGGTCTTTCCGCAAAACTTCACGTCCTGGATATGGGGCGTGCTGCTCAGGATAGCAATGCCCAGAGCTTGCCAGGTAGAATTTCACAAATTCGGCAAGGAAACTTTAGATTGATTTGGGGGTTTAGAGTTCAAATCTTGCAGGATTGCAATGATTTTCATGAGCGTTTTGTAAATGCTAATGTCATTTCGATGAGCTGCTGTATAGTCCCATGCAGCCCCCAAAACATTCTTAGAATAATGCTTTCATCATCCCTATCTATAGCTGCATATATATATATATGTGTGTGTATATGCATATTTACTTATGTGCCTGATAACCCATTTAAAAGCACCTGTTCAATCCGTTGCAGGGTTTGCGGCTTACATGAGACCCCAAAACACGACAATCCTTGTGTCAAGAAATTGTAGGGACTCCCAAATTTGCGAAGGTCGCCCTTCTGTTGAAGAGCAGTCGCACTCCTGGCAGCTCGCGTCGGCCGCCTTGGTTGCAAGAGGTTTTGTTCCTGAGTTTCCTTACGTGGTGAAGGGTTTAGGGTTTAGGGAGGGACAAGCCCAAATTATGACCAGGCAACATTATTCGATCCTTTATCATCACAATACTCGATATGGCTAATGTTTCGCGAAAAATCTCGAATTACCTCCCGCAAAAGTAAACATCCATTGCCTCATAATGAAGATTACGCATCCTAGCCCAAACATAACGGGTTGGTTCTGTTTGCAATTGGCGGGTTGGTCCATGATGCAAGGGGAAGGTGATTAGTTGGGTTTGGGCAATGGAGAAGAAATGAAGACGACTAAATGATTCTGGTTTCAGGGTTGAGGATCTGATCTTTGGCGCATAGTTTGGAAAGTTAGGGAAGGCCTTGCCCAGTTT